CTTATTGTGCATCCATGGGTAAAGGTAAAACCTTTATATATACAGTCTATGGGTAAAACGCATGTAGTACTGAACACGTAACATGAACGTGTCGGGCGCTGTAGTACATATGCCGGGACTGTAAGTGGCGCTGTAACTTCCGCCACAAAATACACCAAAAGCAGCGAAGAAGACTCCGGAGCAGCCCCGCAGCAATGTTGCCATGGCTACCCTTCTGTTTATGCCCCGCGGTGGATTTAGCAACATGTAGTAGTTAATGTAATTCTCCATGTCCACTTGTTGCTGATGGTTGTGGCAGAGGAGCTGTAGATTTTGCACTAATCTGTAACATCTGTAGCATGGTCAGTAGCAGTAGCACTAGCAGTAGCTACTGACAGGAGGAAGTGTGTGTGGCGATTGCTGGTATTCCGTGGGATATAGTACTTTCCTCAGCATGTAAATATATGGATAAATGCAACGGGGAAGTTAACTGAAAGAAACTGAATCTGTGGATATTGCATCGACCGACCAAGAAGCACGTCTCCGTGGAGAGGACGCGCTCAGAAAGAGAGATATTCTCTACAAACACCGGGTGAGATCGCTCCTCTGGGACGGGCGCAGGAGCAATGAACAATAATGGCCTGGATTAGGCAGTAAAGACCATTTTGGTGTATCGCAGAGCGGACTGTTTAATTTTGTTTGTGTTGTTTGGCTGGAAAATTGTCAATATAATGGATCAATGCATGAAATCTGACTCTGTTTATTTTGTTTAAGGAGTATATTGGGCGTTAACAATTCTGGTTTGCCTTTTATAATATTATTTCATTCAAGAACCCCTTGTGCGTTTAATTAACACAGCTATTTTTGATAGTTGATCGTTACAGATGGCTACTGGCCATGCTACAGCAGTGAGCAGGAGAGGTGGGGCTATCATTATTTTTTCAGGAAATATTCGTATAGAGGCGATTACACGGACTCGTTTGACCCCCCATAGAGTTTCGTTTGCAAATCTATCCACCTTGGGACCCGTTATCGTTTGTGGGGTCCATTTCTATCGGCCTCGTGTAAATAATAAGGCTATACGCACGCGAAACTATGCAGATACAAGCCGCTTTGTCCTCGTGTAAACGACGCCTAAGTTCATCAGAACTAAAAGAGCTCTCATGAACTAAAGTTCTCATGAACTACTGTGGGAAAAGTACTTGGTGTGAACGCCCCTATTGTGCCCCGCCACACCTCCAAGCAGCCTGCGCTGTGAATTGCCAAATAACTAGCGCTTCGTCAGCTAGCTCAATGCTAACATATAATGGATAACGGAATTGACGCGCTAACTGAAATTAGCATTTAGATATCGGCAATGTTAAACAACAGTCAACATGCTTAAAATAAACGTAATACTTACAGGCATTCATTTGCTGTGCTCTGAGGAAATGACTGATATTATTGATGAATTAATATTACCTGTAAATGTATTTCATCCAGCTGAACAAGGATAATTTGCTCCTCTCAAACAGGGACAAACACCTCACTGACTTCTTCGTCGTTTTCCCTCTGTGTTTTTTACGTCGGCACTTCCTACAAAAGACAAATCGTAAATTCCTAGTCCTCTTTTCCTGATAAAGAACTTATCTTTGTAACATTACATATCAGTAAACAGAGGAAGTCATCGTTAAAACCTGTGCTAAAAATGTAAGACTTACCACTGCAGTCCGTCGACGTTTGAGTGTTTCTCCAGTTTCCTCCTCTTTTTGCAGAGTTTGCATTTCATTTTTCCTTGAAGCAATTCCATTTTCATTAAAAGTCTGTTTGGTGTGCAGTGTCATGATAACCTAAAACCATAGACTACTGCGGCGTTACTACTGCGTTACTGCGGTCCGTCCACAAACCCTAACACCCAGCGTAGTTCAAGATGTGCTGCCGCTGCCGGGCCAGACCGGAAGTTGAAGCACAGCGAACTCCGCCGCGGAGAGCACTAGCGCCCGAGCACCCTGATCCTCATTTCTTGTTCACACGATTCAAACCAATAGTTTTGATGTTTTGAATCAGGTATTTCATCTTCCTTGTTAAATTGACAAAGCACAGCTTCTGTATCTTCACTGATATACAATTAAAATATTAAAACCGTAATAAAGTGTTAATGCGCTGCAAATCGGGATCCGGCTGGAGCACTACGCAAGACACGCCCCTTCATAGCATTCACGTGCTACGATTGGCCATGAGCCTGTCACGTGCATCTCGGCTGAAAATGGACATGAGGAGAAGCAAACGAAAGAAGATGGGGTCCCGCAAGCGTTTGTTGTCAGAATGTAAGTATGAATTGAAATTTCTTTTTTATTTGAAAAATTAGTAACACTGCTTCGCGAAATCATCTCAATTGACACATGTATTACACTTTTTGTTCTGTGCTATCTGATTTGAGGTTGCTAGCTAAACCACGAGGACCCACCGTGACACAGTTGTTACATAATAATAATAATAATAATAATAATAATAATAATAATAATAATAATAATAATAATAATAATAATAATAATAATAATAATAATAATAATAATAATAATAATAATAATAATAATAATAATAATACATTACATTTATAAAGCCCCTTCCTGGAGCTCAAAGCGCTTACATGACATTTAAATGTTCTGTAAAGTTCCTTATACAGCTTTAGACTTGTTTTTATCTCATAAAGTCCTTAAGTGACACACCCTGAACAGTCTGGTGGGTCATGTGCCGGGCTAACACATGTGACAGAACTAGCTACATTTCAGAGGCTTGTTTTTGGTTGCTAAAGGTACAAATCAAGCCATTTAAGAATTAAAATGCTTACATAACATGTCCTTTGTTACATTTAACCTGTTAACATTTCTTGATCAAATTGATATGAAACAAATTAGATAAAAATCGCTGTGACACTGATGTCACATCGGGACATTAACCTTAAACTTTCACAGTAAATCTGGAGTAACAAATATGTCACAATTAGAAATATGATTATGATCTGCTCAGTTAATTTAGCTGATCCAATTATATTTAGTTAATATATTCTTTATTCTTCAATTCAAAGAATGTTCAAACAAATTTAAATCAAAAAATCCTCCTCATTCATTAAGTTATAAATAAGAGTTACTTTACCATTAAAGTTCAATGTGACATTGTCAGAAATGTGGTCTATTTAGTCTAAATTATGTTCCCCTTAATTTCCCCAAAAGTAGAATGGGTCTGGGTTCTTATGGGTTAAATTAGTTAAATTGTTAAATAAGTAAATGACATTAGGGCGCTAGAAACGAGAGTATTTTATTTTAACACAGCATTGTTTTTTGCGTTCAAAATTAAAACAGGCTAACCTTTTAACGCTGATTTGGGTGACTTGTGTAATTCGTGGAGAACCGAAGAGTTTTCGTTTTGGGGGCGTGGGGGGTCCGACTCACAGACTGACGGACAACGGAACGCCGCTCCAGCACTTCAAATATTGCAGTACCCATAAGGATGCCTAAATACATGCCGCAGTTTTTGCGTGGCTGTGTCTTTAGTTGTAAGCCCATTGGCGATCTGTTGTTATTAGCATCTGGTTAGCTAGCTAGCTATAAAGAGCTGTTTCTACAACCAGGTGGAAGAGAGCTCTCTCCTGACAGACTGAGAGGCTCAAATAACCTCAGCTCAGTGAGGTTAAGGCACACCTTGATATGATCATTATAGTTATATAAAAAAAAGAGACTAAATTAAAAACAGGTATAAAATACTTTGACAGTAACAAAAACGTTTTTTAAATAACAAGAATACAGTTTAAAAGGGGAGTGATTTGTAAAATATCCATAAAGAAAAAGAGAAATCTGCTTACAGGTCTGTTTCATATGGGTGTTGGGAGATGTGTCCATAGATCTCTTAATTTTGCTCTCAAAGTGCACCAGATTGATGCATTTAACTTCAACATTTAAAAACAAATTTGCACACATCTTGTGTCCATATCTTTCTGTTTTGGTGGTCATGCCACAACCGTGTATGCATGCATGTGCGAGTCATGGTAAAATATCTGGATTAAGAGGTTGCTTTTTCTTTGCACAGCATGAAAGAAAGGCGAAATGAATGGGCTGTGATTTTAGTATTTTTAAGCAGAAATTGAGTTCAATCATTTGTACGGCCCTTGGAGAAAGTTGTAAAAATTGAAATGGCCCTTGAGAGAAAAAAGTTCCCCACCCCTGATCTAAATAATAATAAAAACCCTTGATTTGTAACTTAACATCTCTGTCTCCTATTGATCAGAGGATATTATAAAGAATAGCCAGTTAATTGAAGCATTATAGCGCAGGCCTTTGTCAGATGGTATATCACGCTGTTTTTTCTGTTTCGAATAGTTCTCTCTTTTTTCACCATACGTGTGTTTGCATCCCTGAATATAAGTAGGCCTATAATGTTAAACAGAACATGCTGTGATGTCGCTCTGTTCAGAGTGACACCAGTGTTTCCAAACAACTCCATCTCTGTTGGTCTCTGCACGCTTACATTAACCTGCAGTGTCAGATTTTTAAAAAAAAACAGGGAGAGCAGCTTCTCCAAACTGTTCCATTTAAAGGCTGCTGAGACATGAGGATGCCAGGCTAAAACTTGGCAATATTGATGCCTTATAAATTAGAAACGGAGCAATCTCGATATAGCGTTAAATCCACATTGTGGATCGTCTTATCAGTTATCTCTATTAAACATGATTGGATAAAAGTAGAGCTGATTGCCCAAACCTAACTTCTGTATATAAAGGTACACACACCAAACACAATAACTAACATTTAAACATTACTTTGAGCAAAGCTACACGACTAGTAATACCTTTACACTACACCAATTCATTACACAATTTTGTATGTAAGGATTACACTACCACTATATAACACTAGTACAAGAATATTATCAATACTAATAAACCCATATCCAAACTGATTTCTGCACTACAGACATCATTAGGATAGGCAACAACAAAGTACTGTTGTTAAATAGTTAAATATTTGTCTTTTTTTCTGTTTCAGTCCTGACCCCAGAAGACGCCATAACCCGCTACAAGCGTGTTCTTGAGGCGGTAAACAAGGGCAACAATAAAACGGCGGCTTACAGAGCGGTAGGAGTGGACCGCAAAACCATTGCCGACACTGCAGGAATTGCAGAACTGCATGCTGTGAACCCGGGCATCTTCCAAGATATCCGGGGAACACTGAAGAAGGGGGAAACCCTTCTCCGTTTCTCGGAGATGTGCAAGTCTGCCATAAAGGACCACAATTTAGAGGGGAAGGTCCAGGACTTAAAGACAAATGGAGGACTATTATCCATTAATCCAAAGGGGAAGTGAGGAAGGAATGGATGATTTTTTGCTTTGCACTTGTTTTTAGTTTTTTTTTATAAAAAGTGGTTTTTATTTTCATTTTTTTTATTTTTATGTTCATCCTTGTTTGAATAAAAATGTAAAACTTCAGTGGCTGTAGATCTGTCATTGTCATCAACAGTGTTTGTTTGTTTGTTTGTTTGTTTGTTTGTTTGTTTGTTAAACTGCTTAACTAATGGTAAGATAATGGTGAGGTAATCATTAGTTAATGGGTAACTACTGTTTTAGTAACGGTAAGGTAATCATTAGGTAATGGGTAACTACTGTTTTTGATGCATTACTTTACTTGAGGGGACACACACTGCTTAAGGAATGGTAAGGTAAGCATTAGTTAATGGGTAACTACTGTTTTAGTAACGGTAAGGTAATCATGAGGTAATGGGTAACTACTGTTTTTGTTTGCGTTCCTTGAGTTTACCGTACCCAAACGGCCTAAGTAATGGTAAGGTAAATAATGATGACTTAAGCAGTAAAACGTGAGTCGGATCCACCTCCACCAGTTGATCCAGTGTGGGACCCAAGCCAGCCGAAGATGGCAGGTTTAAAAGTGCCCTGCTGCAGCGGACCATTGCTTCAATCAAAGTCTCCCAGGAACTCCTCATTAAGTAACCATTAACGAATGATTCATTAATACAGTACCCCCCAGTCTGTTTACCAGTAACTAACCATTAGTTAACTCAGGAACTCCTCATTAAGTAACCATTAACGAATGATTCATTAATACAGTACCCCCAGTCTGTTTACCAGTAACTAACTAACCATCCATCACAGTCACTGAGGAACTACTCATTAAGTAACCATTAACTATCTAGTAGTTCCTCAGTAACTAAGCAGTAACTAAGCACATTTTGTGTACCTTATTGTAAAGTGTTACCAACGTCTCTCAGACGCTCTTCCGTTTACGTGTTTAATAAAGAAAAACAATTGGACGGTAGATACAAGGATTATTCTGACCAAGGTACGTTTTAACCGTTTGTTTTTTAGTTTTAATTGAAACTAATAATAAAACAGAAACGGGTCGTTATTTTGTTTTTCAATTTTGCCCCAAAACCAAAAAACGGAAATTCAGCTCGTTTTTCCGTTTTTCTGTTCTTACTGTTAAAACAAGTATACCACTCAATGTTTCGTTTCCATAGGTGGGTGGGTCTCCAGTGCCTCCTTGCTTCTGATTGGCTAGTTTGCCCTATGCTTGCGCTGTACTCTTCAAAATAAAGGTTCTAACTCTTTGCCTTTACACAGTGCAAAACTGACAAGCTTCTGCTATCTTTGATGAGCGATAACATTATTTTTGGCCATGATACGACTGATGAAGTTGGAATCAGTTGTACAACTATCCCAAATACTATGAAATACTTTTACTGTGTACTTCTTGATACTCTCCTGTCAAAGTCCCCTCCATGGTACAACAATGCCTGTCTTGCTGCTATATGTGACGAGCAATACAAATACTTTTAAGTTCGAAGACTGATCATTTTGGACTCAGTAGTTAGACTACTAGCGCAAAGACTATAAAATACTTTTATTTTGTACTTTCAGAGAAATCCTCTGTCAAATTGTCCACCCTGAATACCCCATGCAGATGCTCCTGTTGTCTGTCAAACACAAGCAGAAACATTACTTTCCAAAAATGGAAAGTTATCTTGGTCCCGCTCCCCACGTGAAAAACAGAGTAAGTTTAGTGCTGCTAATGTAATGAAAATGGCTAGTAGTGTTTTATTTAAATGGATATTTAGATAGTCAACTAAGAAACATAAAGTACTTGAAATGTACATTTTGGTAACAATTTTGAATATGATCATTTTCTTGAGCTTTAACTCCTGGGGTCAAAATGACCACCAAGGATAGAGGGTGTAAAGCAAATGTGAAGATAAAGGAGGGTTAAGAATACATTATATAGCAGTTTTTTGTTTTACAATATCCTAAAGTCTATTTTTAACACACTATTGAGTTGGCTTTTTCATTACATTTAAAATATAAATTGTACCTAAAATAATACGGAGTGAGCAGGGTATACATATTCACACCATATGCAATCATAGGATATTTTTAGTTCGAAAGATATTTGTCCAAATTGACTACAAAATAGTACAAATGCAAAACATAAAAAAAAAAAATGTTTGGTGAGTGAAGTCCAAAGCCGTATTATAGATTATTTGATTGTGTCATTACAAGGTGAGAGAAAAATAAATCCACATTGTCCTATTCAACTTGTATTTTTCAATTTGTTAGTACATTTTTCTCAGAAAAACCTTTTCTAAATTAAAGTAAATTATTTAATAAGGTTGAATAGTTGAAATTGAACGTAAACTATGTCAAACACCACTCCTGAAATTGACTTTGGTTGAAGTTTATTATAATATTGATATTATATAAAGATCTATATATAACATTGATTAAAGGTGGGGTAGGTAAGTTTGAGAAACCGGCTCGAGATCGCTAGAATTTGAAAATACACAACCGGAAAAAATCTGCCACTTCCTTACTAGGGATGGGTATCGTTAAGGTTTTAACGGTACTACTACTTTTATCGATACCGCTTATCGGTCCGGTCTTTTAACGGTACTCTTATCGGTTCTTTTGGAGAGAAAAATGAGGTAAACGAACTATATGTTGTATGTCAGGGACTACGAATGGAAATTAGCTCAAAGCTAAAATCCGGCATATTTACACTTGAAGCATTATTTGTCTAAAGTGTTCATTAATGTGCATTGTCCCTATTCAAATAAACGATTAAATGACAAATGAAAATAAACAAATTGTGAACAAAACTAACATTGCTTTTTATTTAAATTAAATACATAATATTTCACATCAAAAGAAACAACAACGTTTTAACAAATGGTATTAAATAATGTGATGACAGAACTGTGAACAGAATGGCTGAAACTTTAACAAACTAAATAACTCAGTTACCTCTAATCATCAACCCATGTTTTTGTATCATTGAGTTAGCTCCGTGTGTTGCTGCTAGCATACATAACACCTGACGTGGAAACGTTACTCGTGGATGGGGCAACAGAGCTACTAGAAAGACAGTCAAACCCGGTGCATTCCTCCGTCTGAATGTGGAGCACTTTTGCTAAATGTTTAGACCAATTTCTCGTGTTACCGCCCTGACATGCTAAACTCTTATTGCACTTTAGGCAACGAGCGAGACGGGTAAAGTTGAACCACACCTCGGAACGCGTTCTCTCCGCCATCTCCTCCGTGTGTGTGTGTTGCTGCATGTAGCAGCTGTGTGTGTGTAAACTGCCCCGCCCCCTCGCACACAGACGGGGGAGAGAGATCTCTCGTCTGGATTGGAGAGATCGAAAATACTAAAAATGACGCATTTTGCAGTCTTTTTGCGTGTTAGAAACGGAGTTGGCGACACTAAAACTGCAATATAATGTTTGTGTAGCAATAATACACATGACATATTTTTTAGATGTCTCCAGTACCGATAAAAAGACCGATAACGTCGGAGATTAACGGTACCACGGTCTTTAATAATTCAGCCCCGGGGCCCGTTTAATACCGGGGCTCGGTACCCATCCCTATTCCTTACAGAGCCCCTCCTCCAACACACACGAACGCGCACATGACCAATGAGGGCACGAGATAAGTTTGTGCACAGATGGAAGGCTGACAGGCAGGTAGGCCATCCAGTTATTTTAGCCGGGCCGGCTAAAATAATTGGTCGTGCTTTTTACAGTATTACGGCTTCCACAGATGACATTTTTTTATGGATTTTTTGTCAAAGCACTTAAGATATTCATTGCTATCGGGATGTTAAGAGCATTCCATGGAATATAACAAAAAGTGTATCTCGAGCCGGTTTCTCAAACTTACCTACCCCACCTTTAAGCCTTACGAGTCCCTTTTAAAATATATATATATATTTTGCATAATGTTCTGGGCTGACAGTGCCTTATTTTCTATTTGAAAACACATGGCAATTTTATTAATACAGCAGATGAAAAGATTTGCAATTTTCATGGGTGTCATTGGCTCTCTAGATAAAGGCAGTATCTGTTTGCTAACCTCAGATATTGAATTATTTAAATAAGTGACCTTTGAATACATATTGCAAACATAGCCTTAAAAAGGTGCAGGAAAAGGACTTAAAGGGGACCTATCATGCAAAATGCACTTTTGTACATCTTTTATACATGAATATGTGTCCCCGGTGTTCCAGGGAACTCACCAAGTGTCAGAAAACACAACCCTCTCTATTTTCCTCCATACCCAAATCTCTAAAAAAGGGGCTGCAACGGATCTGATAAAAACTGATCCAGATTTGAACACTGTCCTGACGTCAGGAGGAGACAGCCACGGCCATTGCCGTTCGAAAGCGCTGGAGATGCTGTAGTACATATGCCAGGCCAGTAGATGGTGCTGTTCTCACTGAATCTGCTCTGCAAGGGCAGATTCAGTTAAATGAACAGCTAACAGCTACTGTAACAGCTAAATGAGGCATGGCTAAAATGCATGATCTGTTTGGTATTTTGAAAAGAAAAAAGTATAAATATGCCTTATATAGGTATGGTCCTACACTATATTATTCAAATATAGCATGATAGGTCCACTTTAAAGACTGGACTTTTTAATTCAGTCAAGAGAAGAGAAAAGAGAAGAAAGGAAAGAAAATTGTTATAAGGGGTGATGTAACATTAATGACAGACATAATATGGCTAGGGAGGCTGTGGCTGATCGTGCGTTGATCTTCGGATGAGGGGGGACTGGTTCAATCCCCACTGCAGTCAACATGTCGTTGTGTCCCTGGGCTTCACCCCAAATAGCTCCTGTGAGGATTGTCCACAGTATTGAGTGTATGTAAGTCGCTTTAAGGTAAAAGCAACTAACAAGTGACATGGAGAGGTCAGTGGCACTCAGACTCTACAGGGGTCATTTTTTGATCATGGGGCATCACCCTTGTACAGCATCAGGACAATATCTCTATGGAGTCAGACACTGAAAGTGTGCTGGAGGCTGATTCGTTGACTGGGACAGATGGAAAGATGAGGCTGATGAGACTGAAGAATCTGCGAGGAACGAACTAGGGGCAGAGAAATAATCATATTTTAACCCTTTAATTGCCAGACCAAGAAGAAATCTATGGACAAATTATTTATTTGCATTTTTTTATCAAATAGGACAAATAACCACAAACCATTTTTACTGACCACACAGTTTTGTTTTTATGAGCCTCTACCAACTGGTCGAGCTGGCCTTGGCAAAAGTGCATTTTCAACAATCATCATATAGTACAGTATTTGTATGCATCAAACTCAAATAAAACACAAACTCAAATAAATGTTTTTCTTTTATGGAAGATGAGCAATATATACAACCAGATATATTCATAAAAAATAATAAATTATAATTGTAAAACAAAAAAGAAATGGAAAAAAGTAATGGAAAGTGTTTTTCATTATAAAACGTTTGGCCAAACAACAAACAACTGGCCTAACAGCAAATGTCTATATCCTGTGTTGGCCTAACTTGCTCATGTGTGTGCAACTTTGGGCTGCATTTCATGCATGAAAGGTGCTATATAAATTATTATTGCTCTTTCACTCTGAGACTCATAAGGTAGTACTAGATTTAGTAATATTACCATGAATCTAGCCATTTATTTACCATATTTTATTGGAAAACACCTCTGAAACTCTGAAAAAGTCGTATTGCTAGTTTACAATATGAAGGCCAATTCGACCGGTTGGTTGAGCATATTTAAAAAAAATAATTACACCCTTGTTACAAAAATGTTTTGTGCATCAAGTTATATAATTCTGTTCAGTAAGTGCTCTGACACTAAAATATGTCAAAAATGATATGGTTACCTTACAAAAGTTGACCAAAGAGTGATTTCTTCAGGAGTGATTTTTAGCATGCCAACTTCTTCAGTGGAAGCTAGCTGAAGGGCATTCTGTTCGAACCACAGTGACATCTAGAGGTTGTTTTGTGCATAACATGTCAACCAAACGATAGAGCTGGCTGAATCAGATGGAGTTACACTTTTTTATTTATTTTTCAACAAGATATCAAAACACAAAATGTGCTCTACCAAATGGTGGCGCTGGCTGTTAAAGGTTAAGACAGCATCATCATAAGAGGCCAACAAGAGTGACAGGGTGTGTCACTTTGCTGAAGGATTGACCAGCTATGCAGGATATTCTCTGAAGATTTCCCAAGGGGTAAAAGCTGCTGCTGGAGTGCTGACTGGAAGTAGTGCTGATATCATGTCTACCATATCCTCTTAAAATAGTCTGTCCAACAATATAAGTCGAATGACACATTTTTATTTAAGATGCATTCTTGTACTAAGGAGGGGAATTTGAAAAAGAATACCTGAAAAAGTACTTGGTGTAGTTAAATTAGTATACTGAGTCAAACAGTATCACTCTCATTAAGAATTTATGGCAAACATTTTATCTCTCATCAAAGATAGCAGAAAACATGCATTATTGTACTCAACAGGGGAGTTTGACAGAGTACACAGTAAAAGTACTCTAAATAGTATTTATCAATCCTCAACCTCCAAGCTATTTTAATATAGATTTGAAGAAAAAAACCTTGATGCTGACTTGATCACGCAAACGGGAAATACAGCCGCATCAATTCAGCAGTGTCAGTAACATCAAACAGAGAGATACTCATACTTTATAAGATAGGGATTCATGGCTGACAGTGCAAGACAGACAGCCAGATAGACAGATCGCGAGACAGACAGACAGACAGACAGACAGACCAACAGACCGACAGACGCGCACACACATACGCACCCACGGACAGACTGTCTTCTGTATGTTTTGCATGTAGCCATATATTCAATGTATATTCGTGCAAACACGCACTGTACTGTCTAGGCCAGGGGTGTCAAACTCAAATACACAGTGGGCCAACATTTTAAAATCGGTACTAGTCGAGGGCCGGACTGGTTCAATGTTTATTGCAAAACGTATTGAAATAACTTATTGCACATATTAAACCTGCACTAACAAAGCTTAAATTATTGCCTATAAAAACAACATTAAACATTAAATAATTAGTTGCATTCATTTCTTATGGCTCTATATGCAGATTTTCCGGAGTCATTTCTTACGATTACATTTTTCCACAGGCCAACAACAGCTTCAAAAAAACAATTTCCCTCGAAGAAAAAACCAAACATGCCCTGTTGTCGCAAGAAAAAAAGGGCAGAAGGAAACATCCATTGAAACCCAGTTTGCTGCTCTGTGATGCTAGTTCAAGCCAGATACTTGGCATCTCATCTTGGGTGCAAGTTCATCAATGTTTGGGGTCAGGCTCTGAGCTGAGGAAATCCTCAGGATTGGGTGAAGGTGTGCGTGCCATATACCGGCGGGCCAGATCTAATAGTAATTAAAAATTATCCTGCGGGCCGAAATTAAATCCACCACGGGCCTGATTTGGCCCCCGGGCCTTGAGTTTGACACGTGTGGTCTAGGCAAAGAGTATTAACCTTTATTTTGAAGAGTACAGCGCAAGCATATGGCAAACTAGCCAATCAGAAGCAAGGAGGCACTGGAGACCCACCCACCTATGGAAACGAAACATTGAGTGGTATACTTGTTTTAACAGTAATGGCGCATTTCCACTACAGCGCGGAGCACGGTTTAAGAGGGCTGTGACGTCAGCGGCCCGTTTTTGGTTGCGTTTCCACTTGGCCTAGTACCGGCCGGCGGGTCCTAATTCACAGTTTTTCTGGCCTCATAAAATCGTGGGTCTAGGGCCAGAGACAACGAGGCTGAGTCGGGCTGAGTATGCTAAACTAGAGAGAGAATCGCTGGCAAGGGGGCTACAACTACAACAAGATGGACATATTTGACCGTGATTTAATTGTAATACACGTTTCAAAATGATGCCGAAGTAACAACATACTGATACCGGTTAGTAAAAACCATGAATTAATGCTTTGACAAGTCTGCAGACAGACGGCAGGCGAAAAACCTTTTAAAATGCGTGTTTTCTAAATGGGGATTGGCTAAGCTAACGCAGTATATGCTCCGACCGTCCACACTCACAACAACGGCCTATACAGACATAAATAAAGCAGCGACTGTATTCGCCATGACACAGGCAGTCTGTGGTTTGTACTTGTTTAACTTTTGTCTAGTTTCTGAACATATATGAGGAGCTGTGAGCTCTGAGTGCTAACAGCTAACGGCTGTGTTGTTTTTCTGGGGTTCTCATTGAAGATGACGTCACGGCTCCGCCTACACTGCGTTACTATAGATACTACCCCAGTTCCTAAACTGTAATGGAAATGCGCCATAAAGTGAGCCAGTCCTAACGAGGCCTAGCCATACCGAGCGAGGCCGAGCGAGGCTGTGTAGTGGAAATGCGCCATTAGAAACAGAAAAACGAAAAAAACGAGCTGAATTTCCGTTTTTTCGTTTTGGGGCAAAATTGAAAAACAAAAAAACGACCCGTTTCTGCTTTTTTTTTTGTTTCAATTATAGAACTAAAAAACAAACGGTTAAAACGTACCTTGGTCCAATACGAACAAGCCTATGCCTAATGACTGCCTGCAGTTGTTGTGTAGCCTGCTATATTTGTAAAAGCAGCCGTTGGTCTGATTTAGGTTGCAGTGAGATAATTACATGTGGCCAACACAACACTAAATAAAGGAATCAGTAAAAAATGCCGAAAGAGCTTCATTACCCAAATAATTTAAATTGGATTTTACAATCATAGTGAAGAAGTTTTAGGTGTATCCCGAATGGATGTTGCTTTTTTTGTGTCAATGTTTGTATGTTTTTGGAATATTATAAAACTCATATAATATAGATTATTTGTCTCATCTTTATACAGCATACCACAACAGCATTGTGAACACATGTGAAATGTTACATGAAGAATCTCCCAAACAATGACATTTTATACATGGGTCATGTAGTTACAATGATTATTAGAGTCAACCCATTTTCCAAAATGTTTCCCAAATGCAAGATATTACAATTGTATTTTTTGGTAACGTGTAAACCATGACAATGAGTCAAGTTTTGCCTCTTGACAACTTATGCTGCGTTCACACCGGACGCGATGCGAATATTCGCTTCGCTCTAATCGCTCCTATCGCATCGCTCTAAACGCTCGAGTTTCACCGCGGCTGCCAGCTGTGTTTACTCGCATCATTCAAACAAGACGCGCTGGCTCGGGAGCTACAACTACAACAACATGAACATATTTTACCGTGATTAAATTGTAATACACGTTTATAAATTATGCCGAAGTAACAACATACTGATACCGGTTAGTAAAAACCATGAATTAATGCTTGACAAGTCTGCAGACAAGACGGCAGGCGAAAAATCTTTTAAAATGCTTGTTTTCTGAATGAAGATCGGGTCGACCAGGCTAAGCTAACGTTGTATATGCTCATTCCACACTCATAACAACGACCTACAGACATAAATAAACCAGCGACTGTATTCGCCATGACACAGACAGTCTGTGGTTTGTACTTGTTTAACTTTTGTCCAGTTTCTGAACAGATATGAGGAGCTGTGAGCTCTGTGTGCTAACTGCTAACAGCTAACGGCTGATGTTGTGTGGTTGAACGTCAGTGACGGCAGGCTGAGATCCTCACCGCTGATTGGCTTCCGCGAGAACGCGTCACGTGAATTTGAAGCTCGAGTTGAAAAAATTGAAGGCACCGTTCAATCGCCTCAATCGCGTGATTCGCGCCGCGTCCACCGCTTCATGCTCGCCGTCGGAGCGAATTTGCGTCTGTCCGCGTCTCTGCATTGACTTTACATGTAATCGCGCCGCCCCCAAACATCGCATCGCGTCCGCTGTGAACGGAGCATTACCATTGTATCCTATGTTTACAGTAAGTTATAGTTCACATTTTGTTTCCATTTGAAACACAGTAGAGTATTTCCATGTGTTTTACTTTGAGACAAAACGCCGGCATTGAATGAAGCACACCCAGACAAAGTAAGTTGTTGATTTGACATTTATTTGTGGAACATTCTTTTGTTCAAATAAAATGTGTCCCACCAGAATGACAGAACTTTAAAACTTTCCAACTAAATCATTGCATAGCATCATTAGTGTAATGGTTTTAATCTCTATTCTGATACGGAGTAAATACTGCCCTCTCTGAGAATAATCAATTCACTCATACCCACCCAAATGAAATATCTAATGTCTTATCAATCCAAACAAGAATCCGAAAAATCTAAAGAAACTGACAATCAAGTACAGCAACTTATTTCCTCTAAATGCTTTCACTGCCTTTATATATGTAGACAACAGACAATTATTAGCTACTTCCTACCCATATTTATTGTCTAGTGTTACATCAATCCAAACAAGGAAAACAATCAAAACAAAATGACCATTAAGTACAAATGAAAACATCTTTCTTTCATTCCCTTTAAATAGGTGAAAACAACATTAGCTGAGTTTGACTTAGTTACAATCACCTGGTACATTTTGTTGACAGCTCCTCCTTACATTCCATCATCCTTTGGCTGGAGGTTGGTGGAAATAAAAGGCGGAGCAGGTAAAATCTTACTGGCGCTGTAGATTGGACAGGCTTTAAAGTCACAGGGCCAGTCTCTCCATGCATACCGCAGAGCAGCTACTTGTTCAGTGGGAGAACACAAGCTGGTAGATAACTGGACAGTGGTCGGACCCCACTGCATGATGGGAGCTAGAACCCAATGAGCCTGAAGATCCCATGGAGACTCACTCTCTGAGCAGCAGATCTTAAAAAGTAAACATTTATTTATTTAGCAATTATCGGACCAAACATCAGCCTTATATAATGAGCTATTATTTGTTAGCATATTAAATAAAGCCAGCAGTGAATATCGGACATAACCTACACAGACTGTGCCGCTGCCAGCCTTACCTCAAAGATGTTTTCAGACGGAGTGACAGAGACTTCTTGGTCGTAGGTAACCTCGAGATACTTTGGAGTGGACAGGATTTGGCTTGGGAAAGGTCCACGAAAGGCCACGTCCTGCTCACCATACGCCACTGCCCTTGCTCCCAATGACAGTCTGAAGGCTACGTCCTGCTTGTCTCGGGGATGGATCCTAAAACAAAACAATAATAATTTCCTCAAAAATAGCCTTTTTACAAAACATCATGCGAAACCGTTATGAACACGTGTGACCTTATTCCTCATATTATTTAAATTGCCAAACGTATTATTATTATTATTATTTTGAATTATATCTAAAAGGTCAAACCCGATGATGTTTAAAAATAGCATTGAACTTTTTCACCTCTTTTCTTTAGAGATACATTTAAATGTAATTCTTGTCAATATATTCCTGAGGGAGATGCACAGGCCTTGATGAATAAAAGGGATTATTACATGGTTTAGTTGAACACTCGATTCTGATTGGTCAATTCAGAACACGTGACATGTTGTTAATCCAGTAGTACAGACCGCTGTCAAGGATTTATTGACCGTTGTTAAGGACGCTCACATTTGCCGAAAGAAGTCCGGTCGATTTAACTGTATACAGTTTGCATGTTTGCATGCAGTTTGCATGCAGTTTGCTTTTCAAACTGTTTGTTTGTCTTTAGTTTTCCGTTGTCTACCGTCTAAGAGAGACATGGAGGATTTTAATATTAATTTTTATATATTTGGAGAGCACAGTAGGGTTCTATGAATTCATGCTCTGAATTCATGCTGATCAAGGGTTCTCTGATTCATGCTGATCAAGTTCCCTCCGCTTCGCGTCAGGCTCCCGATCAGCCTGTCGGGTGTTCTTTTACCCATAATGACCGCCTCGCTGCACATTATCCCTTACATGTTTTACATATTGTAAAGCTTATGAGTGCAAAAAAACAGCTACATGAAAGAGTTGTTGTTTATGTGTTTCCATTAGCAAATCAACAATCTATGCAAATCATACAAAGGTATCTCCAAATACTTGTAAAGCAAAATAATGCTCCCTGGTGTTGTACAGGTTCATATTCTACAAGTTCATGTTAAGACATTTCTTACGGGTAATAGGGAGATGTTTCATCTGGTAAATCCATAGCCACAGCCATGAAAGTGTTCTGCATCCGGGAATTTGGGACAAAGCCGGTATCTGCTGTCTGGTGCCAGCGGATATTCGGATAGGCGTCACTTTTGGAATTCTTTTTCCAGGTACTCAGCTGGAAGTGCAAATAAATCATGGATTAGTGTTCCCCCTGAAACTATAAAACGCCAGGTTTTTTATTTTATTTAACAAAAACAAAGGCAAATAAACAATGTTTCCCTCAGTATTCATTCAGCAGTAAAGTACTCCTGCGAGTCCATGAACATGACAAGTGTCTGTGGTTACTTCACTTTTATGGGCGCCGCTACTCAAATGTCACAGTATCATAATATCCATTGAAAAAAAATGCCGGTGCCGGACACACACGTCATACACACAAAGTGGAGCTGAGCAGAAACAGACACCCATAATGCGCCATTGTGACCGGACACCTCCTCCTTAGAGCAAATAATTGGGCAGTTTGATGTTTGTAGAAGTGTATGTGGTTAAAGTGGTGGCAGCCTGCAGTCTCTCTTTAGCTGATCTAATGAAGGTAAACGTAGGTATGGCGGTGCATAAAAGGCACTGGGCGCTGGTGCTGTACTTCTCGGAGGCTGCTGTGTTATTAGTCCCGCTAGCTCCTGATGCTGCAGCGAGTTCATTGAGTGAATGAGGTTTTCTTTCTATAAAACTGCTGTGGGCAGCAGGCACTGTGAGAGTCACTGACATGAATTCGTAGATCAAGGCAGACTGGTTTACAGACTCTCCTAATTTGCCGATCCGATGCTTAAACAAATAGCTGCACACCCCCAGCCGAAATGTCCTTAAAATGAAGTCAAGAGTTCGAAATAAAATTCCAATAATGTACAGTATGTACTGCTGTCATTTCCAAACATAACATTCTGCAATTAAATGGCGGTCTCCTGTGTGCTATTTCCTTTTCACTGGAAACTTTCTCATGGTAACGAGAAAGTAAGTCTTGCTTACGAGAAACTTTCCTGTTATCCCGACTTTTTTTAATTTAATTTTTGTTTCAGGTCTCTTTAGGGGCTCCGTAGTTTTTTTCTATTTGGGGGGAGGAATGAATACAAAATTAAACCAACTTTAACACATTTCGTTTTTTCATGTTTAAATAAGTGCTGGGCAGTGGATATTATTTATGTAAATGTTATAATTTGTGTGTGGATTTTGAAAACTGATTGATAAATATTTTTGAAAGAATTATATTTTTTAAGTGATAAAGTAAAGACCAAAATATAGTGTGGTGTAATTGTGCTTTTTAAACTAAACTACTGAAACTAACATACCTGGACAAATCCAAAAGGGAAATCGGGAGCTGTCTGCCCGCCTGAGCCCTGATGAAATGCCATCCTCCAGTCATCAATCATAGCAGGGAAGGAACAGCTGTACTTCTTTTGATGATAGATATAATTTGACTCCCCTTAGAGACGCAACACGAAAACAACACTTTTAGATGCGTAACGTGTTGGTTATACTGAACACCTGATACATGCAGCCCGTCCTACCTTGGTACCAGATGGCTCCTTTGATGGTCATGTTGAGCAGCGGGTGGATCATTGCATTCCACAAGACTGAATTATCTTTAGGTGTGAGATAACGTTTTCTAAAAGTAACAACAATTCGGTTGAGAGCAGGAGAAAATGTATTACACTTGCATTAGAAGATTGTGTAAAATGTTCAAATGAGAAAATGAAATGATCTTTTTGAGTTGAATGTTTCTTGTTTATCTTCAAATGTATTTTCTCTTTGTGCTTGTCTGGTTTTATTTCCTGTCTTTATATTTTTTCCTGCCTTAGAAATTGTTTGCCTTGAGAGGTATAATACGAAGCCAGATTAGAGGGTTAGTGATGTATGTCGACCCTATTTTCCGTACTACGAAGGTGGCTGTCTTTTAACCTAGCTAAATAACCATGGAAACTTACGCTGCCCCGGACCAGGTTAGGTTCAGAGTTTAGGCTTGAATATGGCAAATACAGCTGTTCAACTAGCTGTTTTGGAAAACTGTAACATTTACCCATAAGGTTTAAGTTTTATGTAATCAGAATAGTGGGATCCGCATTTAAATATATACAAGTCTATCACCCAATATCATAGCAATACGTTGGAAGGGCACTAGCAAGAGGGCATATATCTTTGCAAAGGAAATAAAACATTGACTGGGTTAATCTATGCGTGTAAACATTGAATTAAATATCAATGTGATTTGAGAATCGATACAGTAAATGATTCTGTACCTGCTTTTTGACTCATGTAGCAGTCCACACTGCTGTAGTGCTCTTGCAGAGGACCAGGCTTCGATAGGTGTGGTCGCCCAACAGGACTCCACCAGTCCTATGGGGTACTGCAGCTTATCATACAAATTACGCCCAAAGAGCCAGCACACTGCAGAGAATCCTGCCAGATCTGGAAAATACAATTGTATGTTAATCATTGAGCAAAAAAACAAAACACTTCTGGGGTCATTTGGGTGGATTTTCCATATTTCTGGCCCCCCTTGGTCGATTTTGGTGATTGACATCTCTTTTTAACCGTCAGAGACAATGGAATCGAGTGAGAGTGACGCGTAGAAAAACCGGAAGCTGCGCTAACCTCTGGTGGCTACCATTAGCAGCTCATTTTTATTCTCCGATTTTTGCCTAAAAATGGAATTATGGATTATCAATAATTGTTCAAAGTGACAGACACATTGGATTTACCCAGTGGTTCTCAAACTTTTTCTGTCAGGCCGCCCCTATGGAGAAAAAAAAAAGTCAGGCCCCCCCAACATAAGTCAGGCTCAGTGGCGGCGCCAGAGATTTATGTTGGGGGTGCTGTGGGGTAGCTTGACGTTTCATAGAGGGTGCTCAAACATTTAGGGTTTCCCATTAATGTACCGGTCGCTACAGTGGAATTTTCTACTGCAACAATCCCCACGCATATACACAATATACCCGCGACTGTTACAATGAAGGCTCGATAATCAGCTCATGGCATATAGGTGTAAGCAGGGGTAAAGTGCTATTTTTATAGGTGGTGGTGTGTGGACCTCACATAGGAGGGTCCGGGGGCAAGCTCCCCCGGGAAGATTAATTTTTAAATATTGAAGTTAAATGCATCAATCTGGTGCACTTTGAGAGCAAAATGAAGAGATCTATGGATACCTCTCTCAACACCCATATGAAACAGAACTGTAAACAGATTTACTTTTTCTTTATGGATATTTTACAAATCACCCTTTTAAACTTTATTCTTTTTTTACTGTCATATAGTATTTCATACCTGTTTTTCATTTATTCTCTTATTTCTTTATAACTATAATGATCATATAAACGTGTGCCTCGGAAATAATTGTTTACATTAATGGTGACCAAAACGTTTGAGACCCACTGAGATAACACTGAGAGTCCTTTAGCTCACTGAGTCTCTCAGTCTGACAGGAGAGGACTCTCCTCCACTTTGTTGTTGAAAAAACTCCTTATATCCGTTAGCGTTGCTCGCTAGCACCAGAAGCTAACAACAACGATCTCCGGTACCGTTGCGCTCTCTCTCTCTCTCGCTCGCGCACGCACACAAAATGGCTCGTTCCACACACACACAGAGCCAAGCTTTAATGAAACACAGAAACACAGACGTAATAGTACCGTACTGTATCATATTATTTTCGAATCAATAATTTTTCAAATTATGATTTTTTATTTTCTTTATCTTTTTTTTATTTTTTTTAATAAACATTTTTCCTCCTGGTCTCTCGCGCCCCCCCCTGTCATGCCTCTGACACTTTGCCCCCCACTTTGGGAACCACTGGATTAACCTATGGATTAACCTTCAGCCGCGTTTTTTCTCGTTTTAATGCCATTGAACACGACTTTTGATCAGAAAACGACACAGGTAAGACATATTGCCGTGTTCGCTACCTAGCGCCACGTGTTTTGATGTCTTTTTTTGTTGCGAGTTCTTATCATGGAGTGATGATATAGACACCTGTCGATTCTGTGTCTTCTCACGATGCTAATCGAGGGGTTGGATGTGCAGTTACGATAAGTAATAAGGGTGTTATGAGTGAGTTTCTGTGCAGTCGCCGTTAGCATTCTTTCGCTCATGGCTAATTCAGAGGGTCAGCGTTAGCTTTGTGTTTTTTTTTGCAAAGTACAAATAAAATGATCAGTTAGCTGAGTTTCTTCCCGTTACATGGATATAAAACATTCATAGTTTATTAAATATTAAGAAGCCCTCAGACGCTGTTTCCTGCAGATGACGCGTTTTTCCGCCCAGGGGCGGGTCGATGGGGTTCAACAGGTTTTAACCTAACAATTCACTAGTTGGATAAATGTGTATGTGTATACATGTTTCTATTACAAAGCATTTAAATCAGGCTCAGTTCCAGATAAAGGTGGAGTAGGTAAGTTTGAGAAACCGGCTCGAGATACACTTTTTGTTATATTCCATGGAATGCTCTTAACATCCCGATAGCAATGAATATCTTAAGTGCTTTGACAAAAAATCCATTAAAAAATGTCATCTGTGGAAGCCGTAGTACTGTAAAAAGCACGACCAATCATTTTAGCCGGCCCGGCTAAAATAACTGGATGGCCTACCTGCCTGTCAGCCTTCCATCTGTGCACAAACTTATCTCGTGCCCTCATTGGTCATGTGCGCGTTCGTGTGTGTTGGAGGAGGGGCTCTGTAAGGAAGTGGCAGATTTTTTCCGGTTGTGTATTTTCAAATTCTAGCGCACTCGAGCTGGTTTCTCCAAAATTTCCTACCCCACCTTTAAGTAAACCACCTAAACAATTAAGATGCACACACACATTTAAACCATTTTATAATAAAACAAATAAAACACTAATTCAACCCACTTGCTGGCTGCACAGACCAGGGAATTTGGATGTCAATCAAATCAGTTTGCTCAGTTTCACTCTTTTTCTGGGATGCCATAAAAGTCCTCACATGAGGATAATGTGCTGCACGCTTCAGCTCCTCTGATGCATTGAAAATCTTTTGGAGAATAAATTAAATAGTTAATGTAACACACACACACACACACACACACACACACACACACACACACACACACACACACACACACACACACACACACACACACACACACACACACACACACACACACACACACACACACACACACAATCTCAAATAAATAGTTAACTAACTTTAAATACTCCAGATACTTCAAACAACATGTTGCTCTGCCCTCCGCACAGCCAAACGTCTCCAAACAGCACGTCTGTCAGAACAGCTGTGATGTTCTGCACGGCTGCTGTCACATTGTAGGGACCTCCAGCTTCAACAGGGTCTAGAGTGACCCGCCAGGTACCTGTAAAGACAGTCACCTTCAGCACCACAGTCACACACATCCATCAATCTCCCCACCGCATTGTTAATTGTCAATATTTATTTTATATTAAGCATGGACTCCCTCATTGTCATGTAACCTGAGCCAGTTTTTGAGACCAAATTATGAAATGAAAGCTGTGACACTTTGTCTCTTATTATATCAACTCGCCAGATACCTGTAAAGATAGTCAGTGACACTTAGGGCTCTTCTAATTTCCAGCCGGAAGAAACGTCAAAACTTTCGAAGTGTCTGGCAGTGGCTCAGTCAGTAGGGGCTTGGACTGCGAGCCTACGTGCGTGGTTGGTCCCGGAAGGAGAGAAGTGAATTGTTTGTTTGTGTGTGAATCTCGTTTGTTTCGTCCAACGTATAGTTTGTTTTTTTGTTCGTAGTTCCCCCCCCCCAAACAGCCTTGCTGTCTGGGGGTTTCCCCCGACCTGTGTGTTTTTCGTTTTGATGGATATACTGGCAACGAAAACTGGAATGGCTTTATCGACTGCGTCACGGATCACGGACATTGACACATTACAGCGGAGTGTGGAGAGGGATGGAAAAACTGTGAATGAACAAGGAAAGGACAATGACAACGAGAATACGAGCGGACAAAAAGGAAAAACAGGAGTAGGGGAACAAAAAGAGGTGAGAGAGGAGCTGGAGAGGGTGGTGGAAGAGGAGAAATATAAAAAAGAGCTTACTGTGGTGGTGGCGGTGGAAAGCGGAAAAGCAGTGGTATCTGTAATGGATCTGCTAAAAGGAGTTAAAAAAGAATGTGGAGTGGTGATGGGGTGCAGGGTGAAAGGAGATGGCCTATATGAAGTGACAATGGCTGATGAAAAAGGAAAAAATAAAATAATGGATGGGATAAGGATAAACGGAGCCATGGTGCGGGGCAGAGACTGTATGATAAAAGAACTTACAGTATCATTCCTTAACATACCGGCTTACATTTTGGATACCACAATTAAAGGCAGATTGGCAATGTGGGGGGTTCTGCCTGTCTCGGCAATCAAGAGAAGAGTGTGGCCAGGCACAGAGGTTGCAGATGGGACGAGGTTCCTGCGGGTGAAGTTCAACAAGGAAGTAACGTCACTCCCGTACTCAACCAGATTTGATACTCTCGAGGGTCCGGAGTACTTCAGGGTGATCCACGATAAACAAGTACCGGTCTGCAGGTTGTGCATAAGGCCAGGGCATTTATATAAAGAATGCCCTGAGTTCAGATGCTATAAATGTACACTATGCCCGGGACTGTGTGGCTCGGGAAGAGGGGGCGAGTGGAGCCAGGGGGAGAGGAAGTGCCCAGGCGGAAAAAACAGCTGAGAATGAAATTGAGGAAGAGGAGGGTGGAAGTCAGGAAGAGAGTGAAGAAGAGGGCAGAAGTGATGAGGCTGGGAGCAGGATAAACAAAGAAGCTGTGGCTGCTGTTGCGGCTATATTTGTTGCTGCTGCTGCAAAGAGAGCCGCTGATACGGCTGCCGCTGACGATGGAGGAGACGGAGGGAGGAAGAAGGGGAAAGCAGACGACGGAGGTGCGTGTAGTAGTGGAGCCAATGCTGCTGCTGTTCCAGCTGCTGATGTTCCTGCTGCTATGGATGCTGGACAGGCTGCGAGGAGTGGTGAGGGTTTGGCGGATACTGAGGCGGATGCTGATGTGGATGTTGATCCGGGTGCGGATGCTGATGCGGATGCTGATGCGGATGTGGAAGCTAAACCTGATGCTGGAGGAGGAGCTGTCGGTGGGAGGAGAGGAGGAGAGGGAGCAGGAGATGGAGGAGGTGATGGTGGAGACGGGGGACAGACTGCTGAGGAAATGCAGGTCATAGAATGAATGAATACAATTACAACTTTCATAACACTGGTAATGGTGACAATTTCCTCCTTCAATGGGAATGGGCTGAGGTCCAAGGACCGGAGAGAACAGGCCTTAATGATATGTGACTCAGACATTATATGCTTGCAGGAGACACATTGGGATGAGAGGTGTGTGGAGGATGTAAGGAAAGAGTGGATGGGAGAAATGTATGTAAATAATGGGAGTGTGGGTGATAGAGGGGTGGCAATATTAATTAAAGCAGGGGTGGTAATGAATATAAGGAAAGTTGAGGATGATGGTGTTGGGAGAATGGTTGGGATAATGTTCGAGTGTATGGGGGAAACTTTTAGATTAGTTAACGTATATGCACCGAATGAGGTAAGGAGGAGGAGGGAGTTTTTTGAAGGGTTGGAGGGTAAATGTGGGGGGAAATGTATGATTGTTGGTGACTTTAATGTGTGGTGTTCGAAACTGGATGTGTCTGTTAATATGGGTTTTAATAGTGATTCATCACGTGGTGCTCTCAAAACAATAATGGGGACAAATGGGCTGCTGGATGTGTGGAGGGAAAGGAACAGTAGGGAGCGGGTTTTTTCTAGGAATCAAGTGGTGGGAGGGATATTAAAACAGAGTAGAATAGATTTAGTGTGGAGTAATTTAGGGGAGAAAATTGGCAGAATTGGGTATAGGAATACTGCCATGAGTGATCATAACATCTTGAGTTTCTGCATTGGAACAGTGATGAAAGGAAGAGGAGGAGTGTGGTGCCTAAATGCCTGTCTGCTGAATGATGATGGATATAAAGTTAAAGTGAGAGAATGTATGGAAAAAAGGGGAGGTTTGAATGGTGAGGATGTGGGGGTGTGTTGGGAGGGATTTAAAAATGAAATTAAAGGGATAAGTATAGGATTTTGTAAAAATAGGAATAAAATAGAAAGAGAGAAAGAGAAAAAGGTTAGGGAAGAGTTACATTTAGAGGCTCAAAGGGTAGATATAGAAATAGGGAGAGATCTGGATGAGTATAGTCGTTTGAAGGATGAGCTGGGGGAGATAGAGAAGAGAACATGTAGAGGTGCTATAGTTAGAAGTAGGACTAGGTATGCGGTTGAAGGAGAGAAAAGTACAGGGTTCTTTTTGGCTTTAGAGAAAGAATAATATAGAGCAGGTTGAAGGAAAAGGAGGAGAAATAATATCAGATTTTGTAGGGATTGCCGAGAGAGTTGAGGAATTTTATAGGGAGTTATTTGAGGCTGAAGAGATTGATAGGGAGAGCTTAGAACAGGTGATAGATAGTATGGAAGCTAGGTTGAGTGATGAAGGTAGGGAAATGTGTGAGGGGGAGATAGGACTAGGGGAGATATAGTTAGCTATAGCAGGGTTAGGTAGGAATAAGAGTCCAGGGATAGATGGTCTGACATCCGAGTTCTATATAGAGTTTAGGGAGGGGCTGGCGCCAATACTCCTTAAACTGTACAGGAGCCTGGAGGAGAGGGATGAATTGCCGGCCGGTATATCTACAGGGATTATTAGTATATTGTTTAAGAAAGGAAATAGGAATAAATTAGAAAACTATAGACCACTTAGTATGTTAAATACGGATTATAAAGTGCTAGCACGGGTGTTAGCGAATAGAATTAAGAGGGTTATAAAATCAGTAGTGGGAAACACACAGGCGTATAGTATTCCAGGGAGAGATATTTGTGACACTATTAGTAGTATTAGGGACACAATTAGTCACATGAAGGAGGGTATAGGTGGGATAGTAGTTAGTTTAGATTTAAATAAAGCTTTTGATAGGGTTAGTCATGGATTTTTGTATAGAGTGTTAGAGAAGGCAGGATTTGGGAAAAGATTAATAGGGTGGGTAAGGAGGATTTATAGTAGTGCAGTCAGTTGCGTTAAAATTAATGGGGTGGTAACCAATGTGTTTAAGTTAGGGAGGTCGGTCCGGCAAGGATGCCCTCTCTCAGCAATGCTGTACGCGCTGTCAGCCGAGCCCCTCGCGACTCTGCTGCGGCAAAACAGGTTTATCAAAGGAGTGGAGGTGCCAGGAGGGGGGGTTAGTTTAGTTTATCAGTATGCAGACGACACCACCATTACAGTTAAAGATAGGGAAAGTGTTAGGGAAGTGTTGAAGACAGTCAGTTTGTATGGTAGGGCATCAGGAGCTAGGGTGAATTTAGATAAATCAGAGATTATGTACATAGGACAGGTGAGGGATAGGATTTGTGATATAGGGTTGAAGGAAAATAAGGATTATTTTAGGGTGTTGGGGATCAATTTGGGGATTAAAGATGTGGAGGGTAGGGACAGACAGTATGTAGAGTTAATTAATGGAATAGTGAAGACGTTGAGGTTTTGGAAGATGAGGGGGCTTAAGTTGAGGGGGAAGATAGCTGTAGTGAATGGGTTAATCATGAGTAGGGCACTTTATATAATGACGGTTTTAGATGTGCCGGATAGTGTAGTGAATGAAATAGATAAGATAGTTAGTGAGTTCATATGGGATGGGAGGGGGGTAAGGATAGCTAGAGAAGTGTTAGAAAATGAGTGTAGGGATGGAGGTTTACAGCTGATAAACTTAAGAAGGAAAATTAAAGCAATTAGGATTAAAATGATGGTTCGCTATTTGGGAAATAAGGAAGATCAGTTATGGAAAATATTCTTAAAGGAACAAATAAATAAATGTGGAGGATGTGGTGATAGTGCTATTTTTATGGTGCTAAGAAAGGGGATGTTGAAAGGTTTGAATGCTTATCAAATGGAAGTAATGAGTGCATGGGGTGAGTTTTTGAAGTATGTTAGGTATGAGTGTGTGAATGTGCAGCAGGTGTGGGAGCAGCCGATCTTCCTTAACCCAAGGATCACTCATGAGAAGTGTTCCCTATTCAATCTGCCGATGTGGAGAGCGGGGATGAGGAGGGTTAAGGATTTAGTTTTAGAGTATGTACCAGGCTTTATGAAGGCACAGGTGATAGTGGATGAGGTTAGGGAAATAGATGAAGTGATGTATCCAGGGACAGCTGAACGAATGATGGAAGAAATCAAAGATGGAATGCCGAGTGAATGGTTAACAATGATTGAGAGTGAGATCGTTATAGGAAAGGAGAGTGTGGTTGATTTATATGTGGGGAAAGAGGATGTCAATGTTAAAATAGAAGATGTTAAAACAAAAAATATGTATAAATGGTTAAAAGGGGATGTTATTAGGAGACCTGCATCAGAGAGAGTATGGACGAGTGTTGTGAAAGGTCTGACTGGTAGAAGAATGTGGGAGAATGTGAAAATTAAATGGAACAGTATTGAATGTGAACATTTTGATTTTTTGTTGAGACATAATAGGGTGTTTAACAATCTGATAATTAGTCATTTTGAGGAAACTGTTGAGAGAGAGTGTGATGTTTGTAGAGACCAGGTTGAAACATGTTTGCATGAGTTTGTTGAATGTAGAGAGCTTGGTGTTTTTTTTGGAAGGATGAAAGAGTTAATTGGTAGATGTTGGAATGAATGGTATGTGAGAGAAATGGATTGGAAGGAGCTGTGGCTGTTTGGTGTGATTGAGAAGAAGGATGAATGCAATGTGAATCTATTAAACTATGTTCTGAGCCACGCCAGGCGTGCGGTCCAGATAAGGAGGAACATTGCCCATTTCGAGGGTAAAATGTCTGACGTGTGGCACATAATGAAGAGGACAACAAAAAGGGACATAAACCTTGTTCTCATACATGTGAAAAAGGACATATTTTGTGAGGATTTTGTAAATGGCAGCAAATTAATTGAGATGGATGAGGAGGGAGCTTTGTGCTTCAACTTTGAAAAGTGACATAAGACACACTACTTTTCAGTTAAATAATGACAGTATATGTCATTTTTTGTATGCGTTTCATACAAATTATGAAGCTATATGACATATTAAATGTGTGTCTTTGTTATATGCAGTAAGTACTTTATGTAATAGTGATGAACTGTTAAATGTCTATTTTTGATAATAAAAGATAAAAAATAAAAATAAAAAAAAGTAAGAGGCTTGGACTGGGAGCCGTAGGGTCGCCGGTTCAAGTCCCTGAACTGACCTATAATATGGAGTGTGGAATGCTACTTGGAGAGGTACCAGTTCACATCCTGGGCCCTGATGTGGTGCCCTTGAGCAAGGCACCGGACAACACCCCACTCCCCATTGGTCCCCGGGCGCTGTGCAATATATGCCCACTGCTCCTAGTACTAGACTCCTGGTACTGGTGTAAGAGTTTACAATATGCAGTGGTGTTTAGTGTTAAATATTTCTTTATAAATCATTTAGTATAATCACACAAATTCTGTGTTTTGTATTTAATAATTCTGTGTTCTTTATTTATTAAACGTTCAATACCTGACTAGGTCTAGAATCAGTGAGCGGAACCTCCAGAATTTAGTCACTGTATAGGCGATTATTTTTGTGGGGACTTCCCCCTTAATTTTGTGTCCCTCACGTTTCCTCTTCCCTTTTTTGTGAATGTTCCACGTGAGTCACTGTAAGGGATATCTAATGTAATACTGATTCGTTGTATATCTGTTGTCAGTCAGTGAATAAACGGTGATCAGCTCAACTTCATGCTGGCTCGTGTCTCATCCATCAACAGAGGACACATTTCACTGTGTGTGTTGCGTGCTCTGCATGTGTGACCATTAAAGAGGGTTTCATCCCTCCAATTCTATCAATTCTGAGTGTAGGAGTCACAATGCTAAGTTACCCTGTGTTACTGTTTTATTATTATTATCATTATTTGTTAACACCACACACATTGGTAATTGATCAAATAATTTAGGGACAAGGGGGTGAGATTAAATAAGTTATACTTCTTCTCACTCCTTTTCGAACACTAGATGTGGGACTGTTTATGGTGCTAATGCTGTTGTTGTTGTTGTAAATGTCAGTTTGTTTTGTTTTCTCTTACATGACTATGCACTGAAAAATTGTTTGTTTTTTAATTATTTATTTTACTTGTTCGAAATACATTTATCAATCAATCAATCAAATATTTCTGGTAATTGTCACATGGGTGTGTTTATGGTATTTATTTAGGGCACCTGTTGTATGTGGGGATTTGTAGAATGACAATGAGGGTGAGATAAGATCTGATAACTTGGACAGATATGTATATAATCATATATTCATTTTCCATTCATCTGTTCTCTTATATCTTTGAAAACAGTTGGCCTCTTTTTTTCCCCAGTGTTAAGCATCAAACGATCTGTGCGTCTGCCCCTGTAATAATGACACATTTCCGGGCGCTACAGTGGAATGTTCAACTGCAACACTCCCCACACACACATACACAGTATCTATACACACTTGTTACAATGAAGGCTCGATAATCAGCTCACGGCATATAGGTGTAAGCAGGGGTAAAGTGCTATTTTTATAAGTGGGGGTTGGACCTAATATCCTCTATTGAAGTTAAATGGATCAATCTGGTGCACTTTGAAAGCAAAATTAAGAGATCTATCTCTCAACAGTCAACACCCATATGAAACAGAACTGTAAACAGATTTACTTTATATATTTTACAAATCACTCCCCTTTTAAACTGTTTTCTTGTTTTACTGTCATATAGTATTTCATAACTGTTTTTCATTTATTCTCTTATTGTTTTATAACTATAATGATCATATGAAGGTGTGCCTCGGAAATAATTGTTTACATAAATCTGGACCAAACCGTTTGAGACCCACTGAGATAACTTAGACCAAAGTTAACTATCTAAACACTCAGAGTCCTTTAGCTCACCTGAGTCCCTCAGTCTGACAGGAGAGGACATTCCCTTCACCTTGTTGTAGAAACAGCTCCTGATATGGTTACAGCTCTGAGCATGCAGTCTCTTTCACATCACTCCCCAACAGGATCAATCAGTTCAACCTGTTTGGTAGCCTTTGGTTGTCAGCATAAAAACATCAGATAGGAAATAAAATGCTTTTACTCACCGTTTGTCACTGTGGCCTGCGAGATTTTCTGTTGGTGTTGTCCTGACAAGGTGAATTTCACCTGTGCCCCCTCGGATCCATAGCCCCAAACTACAGCTCTCTCTGGAGACTTCTGCAGCACCATGTGGTCTTTATAGTAGGAAGCGAAGCGCAGGACCCCATCTACACACATACACATTAATATGCGAGTGTAGAAACATTAAAATAACAATACATAAAGAAGGGATTTTGGAGATAGTGTAAGTAAGTGCAAATATGCCTTTTTGTTTCTGTTTTAAAATAATAACGCAGTAACATTTTGACACGGCAAGAAGTTGTAGTACAGGTTAATGCTGACCAAACGATACTCACCACATTCGTGAATAGAAGCTGCAACCAGTATAAAAACACCACAAAGTCTTATCGCCATGACAACAAGATGATTTCCAGGTTAACCAAAAGCTGCAAAGTCACGCAGACTGAGCTTACGTGATGAAGTATCAAACAGTAAACTAACTCGTGACTTATCCAAACGAGTTTAGCGAGTTTTTTCAGTATGTCACATTCGTAAACAATAGTGTAGCACACTGCGGTCCTTCAAAATAAAAGCACACAAGCTCAAAAGTGCCAACCTTTTAATCCATTTTAAAAGTCTGTCTCACAACATCACAAACAAGCCTATAATGACTGTTTGCAGTTGTTGTGTAGCCTGCTATATTTATAAAAGCAGCCGTTGGTCTGATTTAGGTTGCAGTAAGATAAGTAACCTTCAAGGTGATCCCTCTTCGCGTCGGGCTCCCAGACATTAAACGGCAAAACATATTCAGTTGCCAGTTACTTTGGCATTAGGGCAGGGATATCTAGATACTTTCCAAGGTTTGACATCATGCATTGTGCTACTATTTTTAAAGTACAAATTGTATTTGTTTAATGCTTGATGATGATCCCTCTGCATTGATTGTGATGCTTGTACTTTTTATCCTTTTGTCTTTCCTCAGGACAGGCACCGCAGTCCCCTAGCTCCTCTCACCAGCACCACCTGACCTCCCCCACATCAACATGAAGCCCTCTACCTCCTATTTCAGCTCCTGATCCTGGAGGGCAAGGTCATACATGGACGCAATCCTTGGAAAAAGTAGTTTTTATTTACAAAGCTAATATTGTTTTTTCCTCCCTTTTCCTTTATGGTTCAAACATGTAGGAAAGCGAGGCATTCAGGAACTCAAGCCTTTCTTATCTATTGTTTTTCATCTTCGAGCTAGTCCCAGACAGCTGGGAACTTTACTGGGGATGTGTGCTAGCATAGTTGATGCTTATTTACTAAGTGTGTCATGTCATTTTTTCAATAATCTCCAGAATGAACATTTAAGACAAGTTGTGTGCTTAAAGTGCTAATAGCCACATTAACCCACCATAGCTGTTATGACAATTTCATTTTTGTTTGTAAAGTCGTAGTCAAAATAAACCTCTTTTTTTTATTTATTGGGAAATCTGCTGAATAAAAAAAGTATACAAGGTTTGGTAAATGGCACACTGTTGCATAAATATTAGGGCTGTCAGTCGATTAAAATATTTAATCGCGATTAATCGCATGATTGTCCATAGTTAATCGCGATTAATCGCAAATTAATCGCACATTTTTTATCTGTTCTAAATGTACCTTAGAGGGATATTTTTCACGTTTTTAATACTCTTATCAACATATGAGTGGACAAATATGCTTTATATGTTTGTTTATTATCATTGAACAATGACAAATATTCTCATGAATATTAAACACAACAACCTGAACATTACAAATATTCGCTTCAATTCAACCTGGAACCTCTCATACAATAATACTGTGTGTGTGTGTGTGTGTGTGTGTGTGTGTGTGTGTGTGTGTGTGTGTGTGTGTGTGTGTGAGAATGTTGAGACACTGTGATGGATCGTTGGAGCTAGCAAGGCATATATGCTCCAACGGGAGCTGCCTGGATGCTGCAATCATGTTCCTATCCGTGCTGAGTGTGCTGACTTTTCGTACAATGTCCCACTGTCTGGCTACCTGCATAAAGTCAAGTGCTCGGCGCAGTTGTCGGCGAAATGTCATTGAAACAGCTCCTTATATCCGTTAGCGCAGCTAGCTAGCACCAGATGCTAACAACAACAACACGTAAGGTGTGCCTCGCTCGCGCGAGTCGCGCCACACACACACACACCCTCCCCGTCCTCCCGATGGCCAGTCCGGTCCTGCCAGTGAGCGTGGAAGTGTGGTCTGCCACAAGCGGGCGGCAGGAGCTGGGCTGTCAGCATCAGCTTGTAGATGGTATTTTAAACTCGATGCGCTCTGAAACTACGGGGCGGCCGAGGACAAAAAATACACATGCGTTAATCGCGTTAAAATAATTAGTGGCGTTAATTTTTTTTTGCGTTAACGCGTTATTAACGCGTTAACTTGACAGCCCTAATAAATATATAACTGTTGGTACCCTAAATGAAGTTGCAATTACACTTTTGTCTCCAGTTCAACAACAGTAGATTTTTGTTCTACTGTCTCTGTTTTACTGTAATATAAAAACAATGGCTTTGAATGCAACACACACACACAAACTTAGTTTTTTATTTTACATTTATTTGTTCAAACATTTAGTCATAACGACTGATTTGTGTTGTACACTTCAGAGTTTTGTTCAAATAAAACCTTTGTCATGTTTTTCTACATACATCCAGCAATTTATTTTTGTACTTAACATTCATTATTTAAATTTGAGACGGACTGATTAAAAAACATCTTTAAAATGAAAGTAAACATATTTCCCAGCAGGTCTTCTTACAGTTCATTGATTACTTTGGCTGGTAAAAGGAGGAGCAGGTAAAATCTTACTGGCGCTGTAGATTGGACAGGCTTTAAAGTCACAGGGCCAGTTTCTCCATGCATACCGCAGAGCAGCTACTTGTTCAGTGGGAGAACACAAGCTGGTAGATAACCGGACAGTGGTCGGACCCCACTCCATGATGGGAGCTAGAACCCAATGAGCCTTAGGATCCCATGGAGACTCACTCTCTGAGCAGCAGATCTTAATAGGAGAGAATTGTATTTATTTAGCAAGAAACTATCGGAGCAAACATAAACTCTGTCTTATGGTAAAGCTATTATTTTTGTTTGCATATTTAATAAAGCCAGCAGGTAAATATGGGAAAGATGTCATACTGAATGTGCCGCTGCCAGCCTTACCTCAAAGATGTTTTCAGACGGAGTGACAGAGACTTTCTGGTCGTAGGTAATCTCGAGATACTTTGGAGTGGACAGGATTTGGCTGGGGAAAGGTCCACGAAAGGCCACGTCCTGCTCACCATACGCCACTGCCCTTGCTCCCAATGACAGTCTGAAGGCCACGTCCTGCTTGTCTCGGGGATGGACCCTGAAACAAAACAAAATCACACTAGATTCAGGTCAAGACATAAAAACAGCAGATAGCTGTTTCTGTGTTTGTAATTTAGTACAAACACAGTACTACTTCAGTACATAAGAAAGTCTGTTGTTCTGAGAGTTATGCCTAGGATTCACTTTGTGGCAGCAAATCGTTTTTTTAATAAGTTTCTAGGTATCTTAAAATTGTCCTAATGACTCGCTGGAAGGCAGATCAGAAACATATGGAAATTAGTGATTTGAGCTCCATTCTCCAGTTCAAACAATTGCAACATCAGCATTTTTTTATTTTAGCATTTAAGTCTAATCTTGATATGGTACCACTTCTCTCAAAACAAGAGTTACAATGAATTCTGACATGTAACAATTGACCAAATCTACTGAAAGAGTTGTTGTTTATGTGTTTCCATGAGCTAATCACCAATAAACATTATATGCCAATCACACAAAGGTATCACCAAATACTTGTAAAACCATATGCAAAACCCATGGTCACTAATCTGGGCGTCAAAATTGACAGTGCTTTTAAATGAGATAAACAGATAAACTCTGTGGTTCAGTCCAGTTTTTATCACTTGAGGCTCCTGTCCAAAATTAAACCGGTTTTATCCTTTTTAGACTTTGAGCGTGTAATTCATGCCTTTGTTTCTACGCGTCTAGATTACTGTAATGCACTTTATGCCGGCCTAAACAAGACCTCGCTGGCACGCCTGCAGCTGGTACAAAATGCTGCGGCTCGGCTGCTTACAGGAACACGCAAGCATGAGCACATCACACCAATTCTGGCTTCCCTCCACTGGCTTCCTGTCCATTTTAGAGTTCATTTTAAGATTTTATTGTTTGTTTTTAAATCGCTTAGTGGGCTGGCCCCTCAGTACATCTCCGACCTCCTAAAGGTGTACACCCCTCAAGGGCTTTGAGGTCGGCTGATCAGCTGCTGCTGGTAGTCCCTAAAACCAAAAAAGAGACCAGGGGAGACCAAGCCTTCTCAGCGGTAGCCCCCAGGCTCTGGAACGACCTGCCCCCTCATGTCAAATTGTCGCCCACCCTCCAAACTTTTAAGTCCCGCCTAAAGACCCACCTCTTTTCCCTCACTTTCGAGTCAGTCTGAGCTGTTTTAACGATTTTTATGCTTTTATTGTCTGTCCATAGATTTTAGTTACCTTGTATTAATTATTATGTGTGCCTTTTATCTATTATTGTAATATTATATTTTATTATAATGTTATGTTTGTTGTGAAGCACTTTGGTAAACCCTCTGTTTTTATTATGTGCTATACAAATAAAGTGGATTGGATTGGATTGGATAAAAGCAAGGTAATTGTCCCTGGTGTTGTACAGGTTCATACATGTATGCTATGAGTTCACGTTAATACAATCCTTACGGGCCATAGGGAGATTTTTCATCTGGCAAATCCATAGCCACAGCCATGAAAGTTTTCTGCATCCGGGGATTTGGGACAAAGCCGGTATCTGCTGTCTGGTGCCAGCGGATATTTGGAAAGGCGTCACTAGTTGAGTTTTTTTTGGAGGTAGACAGCTGCAAGTACAAATAAATTATAGTTTGGATGTACAAAATAAAACAATTATAAAAATAAATCCTGATAGAGAGCTGAGAATGAGGCTTGATTTTCCAAATAGAAGCCCAAAGAAGCAACAAAACAGCTAATGCTTTAGATACTTAGCATTTCACTTTAGTTTTCTGTGACCAAGTTAAACCACAGTCACAATTTAGTTTGAACTCAATTCTGTCATTCTCCGTTTTGGAAAAGGCAATAAATTAAAAGGCTAACAAACTTTAAAAGTGACTTATTTTATGTTTAAATAAGTGCAGGGCTGTGGATTGATGTACATTTTCGATGGTTCTTGTGGATTTTGAAAAATGACTAATAAATATTTGGGGGGAAAAAAAGCATCTAATACCCCTTTCACACCAAGGCTTTTCCCGTTCTAGCTCCGTGCTAGAGCTTTTCTGGTTCAGAACCGGTTCTTCGGTTCAGCTCCCGCTCTGTTCACACCGCTCAGAGCCCGACTGGTGCTGCCGCTGCTGCGTCATGACGTCACTGTTTACGTCGCTGATTTTCTCCCCAACGGCGCTAACTACAACAACAATGGGGGTCTGCGTCGGGTCGATGATCGTGTTGCTTTTAATCATATGAAGCCAGATTAAATTAAATAACGACTTCTCCAACCTTATACTTTTCTCCGGAGTGCCTTGGTTCATTGTTTATTAATGTGTTACAGCGGCATTTACCGACTGCTGCAGTGCTGGCTGCTCTTCCACAGGAGTTTATTCTCCCGTTAACTCACAGCAGCGGCCGCTGTAAAGTATTCACTGTCCGACTGTCACACAAGCAGCTGATACATATCCCCAATTCCCCATAAGTGAATGTGTGTCAGTCTGAATTGACACTGTTTGGCATCACAACGCTGTTATGAAAGTTTCTTTGGTAGCCTATAAAATGGGTGATGTTAGCATAGCAACCGAAGCTAAACTTACTATAACTTGACTACTTGTTGCCATCCTATTGTGGCATAAGCCGTTTTCTACAGGCACATTTTACCGGCGTATTTTTCATCATGATTCTACTTGTGATAGTCGGACATGACAACCTGTGCAGCCCATGTATTGATTCCATCCATGTATTGATTCCAACAGCTACCTGCCTAAGACCTGCCAAAGACCAGTATCTGGGAATGTTAAGCCCTCCCACTATTTTCCACGAGGGCGTTGCCAGATTTTCAATTTCAGGATTTAACCAGGAGATGGCGCTTCATTCACAAAAACAGGAAGACAACTTTCATGGACTTTCAGTTTTGTTTAGAAGAGCATTTGAACACATCAATATTTTAGATCAAATAAAGTATATCTAATCTTGTAATTCAATAATATATAGTCTTTATATATTAAATAACTATGGCCAAACTAAGACTTAGTTTTTCAAAAGAGAAAATGCAGATATTATATAAAAAACTAAAGTTAAAATCTTGTTTTTAATGCCCCAAGAGCAATAAAAACACTTGGTAAAAAAATCCTGAGTGGGGCTTTCATAAATTGCATTTAGCTGACGCTTTTATCCAAAGCGACTTACTATTTAATAAATGATAAATGATTATTCATAACAAATATGAGTGATGTGTGATTATTATTTATGCTATATACTGATATAGGGCTAAGTAAGCAATCAATCCTGCAAATTAACCCTTAGTTGTTCAATATATGTATTCAGACAATGTGAGTAGAAATACAGAAATTCTGCTCCCACCTAAGGCCAACGTTGCAATATTTCAACATTTCCCTAAAAACTTACCAAAACGTAAACATTTTTAAAACTCTTTCATTTCTGCTCTAGACAGCCATTTGTAGCATATGGGAGAATGGTGATGTGAACTCAACACGTAGTCACTCAGAGGGGGGTATTAATTATTTTCAAATGCGCATAGGCAATGCTATCCATTTACATGTACTGTAGGCTCTTTCAGTCAAGAATTTGAATTTGAATGGGATGTGGAGACGCTCTGCCAACACTGACCCAATCTTCTGCTCCTTACAACCCACTCACTGCCTGTGTTTTAACATTCGTACATTTCTGAATGAGGCCTAACATTCCGAGGTTATTCTGTATTTTCTGAGTTCTTGGTCATTTTCCACGGGGGCGTTGGGAGATGGCACATCTCTTTTTACAGTACTACGGCTTCCAGCTAACCTGACGTGATTCAAGATGGCGCCTGTGTCGGCTCGCCGCTCCCTCAGCTCTCTACCTTTAGCTATCCTGTTTTTGTTTTATGTTTCTCTGCTCTGCTCGTTTATGATCGCCAAGCTCTCCTCCACCTCAGACCCTCACGGGAGTTGATATTGCTGCCCAAACCTACATCTGGCAACCATAAATCGTCCCCCCCCCCCTCTCCTGTCGAATATTCCCACCTACCTGCGCCGGTTGCCCTGCATCCTGCCTCGCCGAAAGCGCTTTAGACGACGGGGAAAGCGTGGTGGTGCACTGGTCCATCTTAAGGCATACCTGACGGCTTCTTCAGCTCCCCCCGTGCCACCGGCCATGGTGGGGGCATAGCATCAGTGTTTAGAGCTAGCCTCCAATGCCGATTGCTTCACCCTGTAACTACCTATGCTAGCTTTGAGTTGCAGCTTTTTGAACTGAACCCGGCCTCGCCTATACTCTGCGCAGTCTTGTATCGTCCGCCAAAGTGCAATAAGGATTTCATATATGACTTTTCTGACTTTCTGTCCGGGATCATGGTGAAATATGATGTGTTTTGATCTCCGGAGACTTCAATGTCCATGTGTGTTGCGAGTCCAAACCTCTGGTTAGGGACTTTTTAAATCTCCTTGATTCCTTTGGTCTCATTCAGTCCGTGGCTGGCACAACACACGAAAAAGGACACACTTTGGAGTTAGTATTATCGTTTGGACTGTCTGTATCTGTGGATGAAATATGTGCAGCATCTCAGACCATTTACCGGTTCTGTTTACAACCTCCATCCCTTCCGCAGGAGTCGAATCACGTGCCCCTGCGCGTCGTCTGCGTTCGATTAACCCCTTGACTGCCTCACAGTTCTCTGATGTTTTTAATGCTTCTCCGATCTGTAAATTAGATGTGAACTGTGCTTTTAATGCTGATGAGCTTATCTCCATGTTTGACTCGACATGCACACTAATACTGGATTCTGTTGCTCCTTTTACGCTTACCCAAAGTTCTATCAGAGCCGTGGCTCAATGACTGTACTCGTGCTCTCAGACGCGCTTGCAGACGTGCAGAGAGAAAATGGAAAAAGGATAAACTCCATGTCTCCCTAGAAATCCTTCGTGCTTGCCTTTCTGACTACCAGACGGCAGTCAAAGCAGCCAAAACAGAGCACATTTCTCTGTTAATCTCCAAAAACAGCCATAAACCTCAGGTTCTTTTTAATGTCCTCAACTCTATCATTAATCCCTGTGATGTTTCTTCTATTGTCCCATCGACTACTCTCTGTGATAAGTTTCTTACATTTTTTATTGAAAAAGTATCTGCTCTTAGGCTAGCCCACACTAGTGCTACCCCAGATCCTGCTCCTTTTCTGTGCCCTGCTGTCCTCGACCACTTTGAGCCTGTATCCCTCTCTTCTCTCTCGGATGTAGTCAAGCACCTGCGGCCGACAAACTGCACCTCAGACAGCATTCCCTCTCGCCTTCTCAGAGATGTTTTTGATTCAGTTGGAGCAAGTATTTTATTACTTTTAAACACCTCTCTTAGCTCAGGATGTGTCCCAGCTGCCTTCAAACATGCCGTGGTTAAGCCACTACTTAAAAAGAAAAATCTCGACCCCTCCATTCTCGCAAATTTTAGGCCCATCTCCCAGCTACCTTTTTTATCAAAAGCCCTGGAGCGAGTAGTCTACGCCCAGCTGCAGTCTTTTTTAACCATGCATGGAATCCATGAAAAGTTTCAGTCTGGCTTCAAACCCATGCACAGCACTGAAACAGCCCTTTTAAGAGTTTTTAATGATCTGCTCCTAGCCGCCGACTCAGGTAGCTCCGCTCCGCTCTGGGGGAAGCTCGCGAGTGTGTGTATGTGTGTGTGTGTGTGTGTTTGTGTATTTTTGCGTTTGTGTATATTGTGTTTGTTTCCCGGGGAAAACACTCACGAGAAACACCGGCTGTTGTTATGCTTGCTGTGACGTTAAATGCCTCCGTTCTCCGCTTGTAAATATGCCGTTACAAGCTTCATAGTAGTATTTATCATCTAAATTTGCCGAAACAAGTTTAATATTCTGAAAGCCAAGACTTTGTTTAATTGAAATCAGATGAAAACAAACTGTAACAGACCCTGCCGTGTTATCTATGATTACTATATGCCTTACATTCATAATTTCAGCCGGAGGGAGGGGGAGCTGCGCTACGGAAGAGCAGATTGCGAGCGAGAGGTGCCTGTCATCTTCCCTTCACAAGCTTCACAAATGTATTTATCGTGTGATTTTGGAAATAAAAGTTTCATATTCTGAAAGCCAAGACTTTGTTTATTTAAAATCAAACAAAACACCCGAACCCCGAAAAAATAGTTTTTTATGCAAATCCACATTTATTTTTAAATGAGCCGTTGCGACTTCCGACTGATTTCGATATCATGTTTTAAATTGAAGTTGTCTGAATTCCTCACCACCAGCTGCTCTTGCAGTAACAGGTAATGTACTTTTCTTACTGTCCTAATGTGCACAATGTTGTTATATCAATCTTGGACCTAGTCATAGTAACTAGGTATGTTATTGAATTACAGTTTCCATAGAATCGTCTCTTTGCTAATTATTACGTTAAGTGAGCTGACGCCAAGCTCAGAGGAAATGCAAAGAGGCTACATTTAGATATAATACAGTTAAGTGTTAGTTAATGTAAGAAATGTATGTGCGCTCATGTGCAGACGTATATATAGTTTGTTAATTGGATAATTCATATCCTTTAGTAATGAAGATTACATTTTGTGAGGAAACCACCAATAATTCCTTTAAGTGTTCCAAAAATATATTCATTAACTGTAATCAGATTACTTC